TGTTCTATTTCCTGTTTTGCCGGCAGTCATGAGGCAAGCCCACCCTGCTCGTTAGTCCCGTCTTGATTTCTTGCCTGTCCAAACACCGGCCTGGGGCAGCCGACTGCCCTCCAGAGCAGACGGGGTCGGAGGTCGCTGCAGTCCAGGCCCAGAGCCTGTTTCACCCTCGGGAGCCTGGTGCACTTTGTCCCAGTTCCCTGCGGCCGCGGGAGGCCCCGGGCACAGCGGCGCTTGACGCCGGAGCAGTTTCTCAGCTGCCCCACCGCCGGCTGGCCGGCGGGCTCCCGTAGGCGGCTAGTGCCACGCTGCGAGAGCCGTGCCACGAGCGCCTTTGCCACGGGAACCTGCCGCAGAAGGTCCCGGAACCCCCCCGCCCGTCCGGGTTCGGGGCGAGAACGCGCCCTTGCAGAGCCGAGGCCGGCCCTGCAGGGTGTCTGTGCCCAGCGTCGCCCGCCCTCAGCCCCCACCGCGAGCGTTTCAGGGGGGCAGCGGCTGCCTCGCTCAGGAGGGCGTGAGCACCCAGCGCCTGTCTCCCTCGGCAGCAGCGTCGGTCCTCTGCAGGCAAGGGACTCAGGTCCAGGGGACGCCGCCGAGGGGCAGTGCATCTTGTGTCAGTGACTCCCGCAGCCATCAGGACAGACACGAGGTGGAGGCCGTGTCAGGTCAGGGCCTGGAGGCGCTGGTGGCTGCCGGTCAACGGCAGAGGCCTCCAGAGCGCCCGCTCTTCCCTGCGGGCACCAGGCGGGGAGACGGTAAACTGCTCCCCGCCTGGCAGGCTGTGTTCCCGGCCCCGGCCAGGCCCGGCTTGCTGTCTCGCTGCAGGACACGCGCCTGCTGGCCCCGGGCAGCACCTGCCAGCCCAGGTGTGCCGGGCACGGCACCTAGGGCCGGTGGTTCCGCAGACGGTGTTTGCGCTGCGGCTCTGGCACCTGCCCGTTAGGTCGCACACACGTCTGAGAGGCGGGTGGAGCCCGGGGGTACTTCCCGCCTGCTTACCCGCCCCTGACTAGAGTCCCAGCAGAGGGGACGGAGACGGGAGGAGACCTGAGACCCCGGGGCCGGCCGCCTCGGCCCGCAGAGACAGTGGCCGCCCCTGGCCGGCCTCGCCGCTGACCTCTGGTGGGGCTATGCGGTAGACGGACGGAGCGGCAC